AGGAGCCTTTGAACCAAGTGAGAGAGTAATTGTGGTAGGGGACTTGAATGCTAAAGTAGGAGAAACTTTTAGAGAGGGTGTGGTAGGTAAGTTTGGGGTGCCAGGTGTAAATGATAATGGGAGCCCTTTGATTGAACTTTGTATAGAAAGGGGTTTAGTTATAGGTAATACATATTTTAAGAAAAAGAGGATAAATAAGTATACACGATATGATGTAGGGCGAAATGACAGTAGTTTGTTGGATTATGTATTGGTAGATAAAAGACTGTTGAGTAGACTTCAGGATGTACATGTTTATAGAGGGGCCACAGATATATCAGATCACTTTCTAGTTGTAGCTACACTGAGAGTAAAAGGTAGATGGGATACAAGGAGAATAGAAGCATCAGGGAAGAGAGAGGTGAAGGTTTATAAACTAAAAGAGGAGGCAGTTAGGGTAAGATATAAACAGCTATTGGAGGATAGATGGGCTAATGAGAGCATAGGCAATGGGGTCGAAGAGGTATGGGGTAGGTTTAAAAATGTAGTGTTAGAGTGTTCAGCAGAAGTTTGTGGTTACAGGAAAGTGGGTGCAGGAGGGAAGAGGAGCGATTGGTGGAATGATGATGTAAAGAGAGTAGTAAGGGAGAAAAAGTTAGCATATGAGAAGTTTTTACAAAGTAGAAGTGATGCAAGAAGGGAAGAGTATATGGAGAAAAAGAGAGAAGTTAAGAGAGTGGTGAAGCAATGTAAAACGAGAGCAAATGAGAGAGTGGGTGAGATGTTATCAACAAATTTTGTTGAAAATAAGAAAAAGTTTTGGAGTGAGATTAACAAGTTAAGAAAGCCTAGAGAACAAATGGATTTGTCAGTTAAAAATAGGAGAGGAGAGTTATTAAATGGAGAGTTAGAGGTATTGGGAAGATGGAAGGAATATTTTGAGGAATTGTTAAATGTTGATGAAGATAGGGAAGCTGTGATTTCGTGTATAGGGCAAGGAGGAATAACATCTTGTAGGAGTGAGGAAGAGCCAGTTGTGAGTGTGGGGGAAGTTCGTGAGGCAGTAGGTAAAATGAAAGGGGGTAAGGCAGCCGGGATTGATGGGATAAAGATAGAAATGTTAAAAGAAGGTGGGGATATAGTTTTGGAGTGGTTGGTGCAATTATTTAATAAATGTATGGAAGAGGGTAAGGTACCTAGGGATTGGCAGAGAGCATGCATAGTTCCTTTGTATAAAGGCAAAGGGGATAAAAGAGAGTGCAAAAATTATAGGGGGATAAGTCTCTTGAGTGTACCTGGTAAAGTGTATGGTAGAGTTATAATTGAAAGAATTAAGAGTAAGACGGAGAATAGGATAGCAGATGAACAAGGAGGCTTTAGGAAAGGTAGGGGGTGTGTGGACCAGGTGTTTACAGTGAAACATATAAGTGAACAGTATTTAGATAAGGCTAAAGAGGTCTTTGTGGCATTTATGGATTTGGAAAAGGCGTATGACAGGGTGGATAGGGGGGCAATGTGGCAGATGTTGCAAGTGTATGGTGTAGGAGGTAGGTTACTGAAAGCAGTGAAGAGTTTTTACGAGGATAGTGAGGCTCAAGTTAGAGTATGTAGGAAAGAGGGAAATTTTTTCCCAGTAAAAGTAGGCCTTAGACAAGGATGTGTGATGTCACCGTGGTTGTTTATATATTTATAGATGGGGTTGTAAGAGAAGTAAATGCGAGGGTCTTGTCAAGAGGCGTGGAGTTAAAAGATAAAGAATCACACACAAAGTGGGAGTTGTCACAGCTGCTCTTTGCTGATGACACTGTGCTCTTGGGAGATTCTGAAGAGAAGTTGCAGAGATTGGTGGATGAATTTGGTAGGGTGTGCAAAAAGAAGAAAATTAAAGTGAATACAGGAAAGAGTAAGGTTATGAGGATAACAAAAAGATTAGGTGATGAAAGATTGAATATCAGATTGGAGGGAGAGAGTATGGAGGAGGTGAACGTATTCAGATATTTGGGAGTGGACGTGTCAGCGGATGGGTCATGAAAGATGAGGTGAATCATAGAATTGATGAGGGAAAAAGAGTGAGTGGTGCACTTAGGAGTCTGTGGAGACAAAGAACTTTGTCCTTGGAGGCAAAGAGGGGAATGTATGAGAGTATAGTTTTTTTACCAACGCTCTTATATGGGTGTGAAGGGGTGGGTGAGAATGTTGCAGCGAGGAGAAGGCTGGAGTGCAGTGGAGATGTCATGTCTGAGGGCAATGTGTGGTGTGAATATAATGCAGAGAATTCGTAGTTTGGAAGTTAGGAGGAGGTGCGGGATTACCAAAACTGTTGTCCAGAGGGCTGAGGAAGGGTTGTTGAGGTGGTTCGGACATGTAGAGAGAATGGAGCGAAACAGAATGACTTCAAGAGTGTATCAGTCTGTAGTGGAAGGAAGGCGGGGTAGGGGTCGGCCTAGGAAGGGTTTGGAGGGAGGGGTAAAGGAGGTTTTGTGGTGCGAGGGGCTTGGACTTCCAGCAGGCATGCGTGAGCGTGTTTGATAGGAGTGAATGGAGACAAATGGTTTTTAATACTTGACGTGCTGTTGGAGTGTGAGCAAAGTAACATTTATGAAGGGATTCAGGGAAACCGGCAGGCCGGACTTGAGTCCTGGAGATGGGAAGTACAGTGCCTGCACTCTGAAGGAGGGGTGTTAATGTTGCAGTTTAAAAACTGTAGTGTAAAGCACCCTTCTGGCAAGACAGTGATGGAGTGAATGATGGTGAAAGTTTTTCTTTTTCGGGCCACCCTGCCTTGGTGGGAATCGGCCAGTGTGATAATAAAAAAAAAATAATAAGCAGATTTGCTGATGACACCAAAATAGGCCGTCCAATTCATTCTAATGAGGACATTAGAGCACTCCAGGATGATTTGAATAGACTGATGCAGTAGTCGGAAAAGTGGCAGATGCAGTTTAATATAGACAAATGCAAAGTTCTAAATATTGGACAGGAAAATAACCATGCCATATATAAACTAAATAATTTAGATATTATTATTACTGGTTACAAGAAGGGTTTAAGAGTTCTGGTTAGCAGTAATCTGAAACCAAGACAACCGTGCATAAGTGTTCGCAGTAAAGCTAACAGAATCCTTGGCTTCATATCAAGAAGTATAAATAATAGAAGTCCTCAGGTTGTTCTTCAACTCTATATATCTTTGGTTAGGCCTCATTTAGATTATGCTGCTCAGTTCTGGTTACCGTATTATAGAATGGATATAAATGCACTGGAAAATGTACAAAGAAGGATAACAAAGTTGATCTCGTGTATCAGAAATCTTCCCTATGAGGATAGACTGGGGGCCCTGAATCTGCACTCTCTAGAAAGGCATAGAATTAGGGGGGATATGATCAAGGTGTATAAATGGAAAACTGGAATAAATAAAGGGGATGTAAATAGCGTGCTAAAAATATCTAGCCTAGACAGGATTCGTGGCAATGGCTTTAAGTTGGAAAAATTCAGATTCAGGAAGGATATAGAAAAGCACTGGTTTGGTAATAGTTGTGGACAAGTGGAACAAGCTCCTGAGTGCCATCATAGAAGCTGAGATGTGTAGTTTTAAAAATAGGTTAGATAAATATGTGAGTGGGTGCGAGTTGGACCTGACTAGCTTGTGTTACTTGGTCAGATGCCATGCTCCTTCCTTAAGTGAATGTAACCTGACCTAACTAGGTTAGGGCATTGGCTTAAGCCAGTAGGAGAATTTGACCTGCCTTGTATGGGACAGTAGGCCTGCTGCAGTGTTCCTTCCTTCTTATGTTCTTAAAATAATTTTGATAGAAATTAAAACATTACATGAGTAGCATTATTCCCATAGCCACAAATAAGTAATTAATAAGTCTTGATGATCTGTTATTGCTCTTTTTAATACATGCAGGGCTGTTATTTGTTCAGTGTTGGTTCATAAAGAAAGTCACAAAACTGTGACTGGAACAGTACACCAAAAATCCATCCTGAGAAGAGCCACCTCATGATGAAGTTTTGGTATTTTCTGTAGCATTGTCAGCTTGCAACTGGGAGTGAGAAAAGTCAAGAATGCCTGAAAACAACACTTTAGGGGATGCAAGAAGCATACATGAGTGTGTTGGATAGGGGTCAGTGGAGACAAATGATTTTTAGGACTTAATGTGCTATTGGAGTGTGAGCAAGGTAACATTTATGAAGGGATTCAGGGAAACTGGCAGCCAGGCTTTAGTCCTCGAGGTGGGAAGTACAGTGTCTGCACTCTGAAGGAGGGGTGTTAATGTTGCAGTTTTATAACTGTAATGTAAGTGCACCTCTGGCAAGACGGTGATGGAGTGAATGATGAAAGTTTTTCTTTTTCAGGCCACCCTGCCTTGGTGAGAAATGTCTGATGTGTTTAAAAAAGGGATGGGAGGGGAAGGAGATTAGCTGTTGTGGCAGCAGCCACTGCCACCATGAAATTAGTGCCCTCTACTGTATTGCTTTCAGGTATACATGAAGGGTATACAATACCGGCAAGATGAAAATTAGACACATATGCAACATCTGGGTATCTTTGTTGTAGATGTTTTGCCATCCAGTGGCTTTATCAATACAAGAAGAACTATAAACAAAATAGGAGGTAATCAGTCCCTTAGCCTTGGAATTGGTGTGAAAAGCGCCATAGTCATTAAGATTCTGTAGCTACAGAGTCTTCACGACTATGGTGCTCTTCACGCCAATTCCAAGGCTGAAGGACTGATTACCTCATCTTTTGTATATAGTTCTTCTGTCTTCCAATCATGTCCTTGAATTTGTATTGATAAAGCCATTAGATGGCGAAACGTCTACAATAAAGATACCCAGATGTTGCATGTGTCTAATTTTTAGGCTTTCAGGTGGTATTATACTTTTCTCTTGCCCCAGTTGTGACTTGACAGTGATTAAGAACAGATTGAAATGTCAGCATAAGGTTCCTGTAAGTGTCAGGTTTTTGGTCTATCATAGGTTCATACACGAACCACTATAAGAAAAATTTACTTTTTCAGTTAAAGGTTATGTTCGCAAGGGAAAAATCCATCAAGGTTTAAAACAGTATGCCAAGGCTCAAGATGCTTATCAAAAAGCTCTTGATATTGATCCCAGCTGTCAGGATGCTCTGGACGGCTTCCGTGAAGGTATGATGGCTCTCAACAGTGACCCAGAAGAAGTAAGTTGCCACAGTATGGAACATTTGTATTGCATAATATATAACTGAGGTAATTCATTGTGTATTTTGCCAGTTATAGTTCAGGCCTCATCTTCAAAAAATTCATTGTTTTATTAATAGTAAAGTTGAGAAAACAGTTCTGTATAAATTGTATACTGGCAGTTAGCAGCTATTTAAGATACATTTATTAGTGAATCAACTTCTTGTAACCCCTGTAAAGCCAATAAATCTATTGTTTAGTTGGATAAAGCATAAAATTTTATTTTGTTTAAGTATTGGACAAATGCTCATTATCATTAACATTAATTTAGGTGCGAAAAAGAGCCATGTCTGACCCAGAAGTGCAGCAAATTCTCAAGGATCCAGCTATGCGCATGATTTTGGAACAGATGCAGACAGATCCCCGAGCTCTTCAGGAGTAAGTGCTTTATTTTGTACATATTTTATACTAAAGGGGAAAGGTTTTAGAACAAAAATTTTAATCATTCTCGATAAAACAGTTATTTAAATATTGGAGCACAAGACCTTAAACTCGATGACCTTGGCAATCACAGGAAGACTGAAATGGGTAAAGGTCATTAACAAATAGTATGAGTGTGAGGACCCCATTAATGTTCTTAAATTTTTCAGCCTTAAATTGACTTTCCATCTGAGGAAAGAGAGACAGAACAAGATTTTATTAGGACAGTGTTTTGATCTGTTAAATTCTTCAAGAAGTCAGCTTGTTCAGCAAAGTGTCTTGATATTGTTGGCAGTGTCATTTAGTTCCAGTTTTCCAACTCTAAAGAACATAAAAGCTCAGTATTTGGAAGTTAAGCCACCACCATTTGAGTGCATTTTTGGGTTCCTGCCCACAATATAAATACGTAGTATGATAAACTTCAAATAAGCTAAATCAAAGGGAAGCTGGAAAGGCTCTAGAAACAGGTTGCACACCCATCACTTGCCATATTTGGGAAACACTACTTCACTGTCATAATAGTAAAGTAGTGAAATGAGCTAATAATTTAGAAGTATACTCCATACAGGAACTCCAATGAAAACATAAATCAGCTAAGTCGTATCCTGTGTCTGTTCTGTTATATAACAGCTTTGAAGCCAGTGTTGGTCCTGTAGCACGACAACATGAGCTCAGCTCAACTCTGATAAGCTGTGAGTGGTAAATTTGGGCCTAGATATCTAATGAGAGAATGGGTGTATGCAGTAAATGTGCACCAAATAAAAAAAAAATCCTGCAGCATGCAGTACATAATGAGGAAAAAACCTGCAGCAGTGTTTTTGGTTTAAAACGGCAACTTTGCAATGTATTTTTGTATGTTTTTTATGGTTGTATTCTTGGTTTCTTGGAAGATATGTTACAGAAATAGAGAGGCTTTTGATTAGTTTTAGGACTGAAAGTAACTTGAAATTGAACTCAAAGTAGCGGAAATGTTCGATTTTTGCTGATATTCCAGAGTATGTAAATGATGTCGCTTGTCCATTTTGCATCCAGCTTGCCGCTCTAATAACATTTAGGAATGCACTTATATAAATACAATAATGAAGTAGTCTGCATAACAGTAAATCTTCTTTTTTTGTTTGAATGAAAATTCAAAATGGAAACCAGGCATAATATAAGAGGGGCCTGGAAACACAATTAAGGAACAGATAAAATGTGCTTTTTTAGTGCTAGGAATCTCTACATTGTTTATTCTGGACCCTATTTTTAATTGTAAATTTTTTAATTTTGTGTGAAGTTGGCCAAATCAGAGATTTCTTATCACTTTATTGGGTAGTTGAAATAGGTAAATGGGCAGTTTCTTGTACGCAGTTGATAGAATAGAAGGAATACTACTGAAATAGCTATGAGTTTGGTCATCTGGAAGAATAGAACTGGTCAAAATTAGGGTGCAATGTGAGTGAAATCGCCAATGCATGAATAACGCCGAGACCCCTAACTTTGTGAGAGTGTAATTTCATAAGTTTTCCATAAAATTTCATACTTTTGTTTTCATTACCTTTGTTGACGTGTCAGCGGATGGATTTATGAAGGATGAGGTTAATCGTAGAATTGATGAGGGAAAAAAGGTGAGTGGTGCATTAAGGTATATTTGGAGACAAAAAAAATGTTATCTATGGAGGCAAAGAAGGGAATGTGTGAAAGTATAGTAGTACAAACACTCTTATATGGGTGTGAAGCTTGGATTGTGAATGCAGCAGCGAGGAGGCGGTTGGAAACAGTGGAGATGTCCTGTCTAAATATATGCAGAAAATTTGGAGTGTGGAAATTAGGAGAAGGTGTGGAGGGGTTGTTGAGGTGGTTTGGTCATTTAGAGAGAATGGATCAAAGTAGAATGACATGGAGAGCGTATAAATCTGTAGGGGAAGGAAGGCGGGGTAGGGGTCGTCCTCGTAAAGGTTGGAGGGAGGGGGTAAAGGAGGTTTTGTGGGCGAGGGGCCTGGACTTCCAGCAAGCGTGTGTGAGCGTGTTAGATAGGAGTGAATGGAGACGAATGGTATTTGGGACCTGACGATCTGTTGGAGTGTGAGCAGGGTAATATTTAGTGAAGGGATTCTGGGAAACCAGTTATTTTTATATAGCCGGACTTCAGTCCTTGAAATGGGAAGTACAATGCCTGCACTCTAAAGGAGGGGTTTGGGATATTGGCAGTTTGGAAGGATATGTTGTGTATCTTTATAGGTATATGCTTCTAAGCTGTTGTGTTCTGAGCATCTCTGCAAAAATAGTGATTATGTGTGAGTGAGGTGAAAGTGTTGAATGATGATGAAAGCATTTTCTTTTTGGGGATTTTCTTTCTTTTTTGTGTCACCCTGCCTCAGTGGGCGACGGCCAACTTGTTAAAAAAAAAAAATACTCCTACCATCCGACTTACGACCGAGTTCGGTTCTGAGAAACCGGTCGTAAGTCGAAATGGCCGTAAGTCGAACTTTACTACTGAATATCAACAAAACATTTTTGTAATGACTTTATTTTATTGTTTTATTTTGGTATTTCATGTTTTACTTTACTTTTTATGCTGTTAGTACTGTATTTTATACTGTAAGGTTTAGGATAAACACTGTGTACAACACAAATAGTTGTTTATTTCCCAGAAATTTGGCATAAAAAACACGGTCGTAAGTCGAGTGGTCGTAAATCGAGCAGGTCGTAAGTCGGATGGTAGGTGTATACATATATATACCAAAAAAGATATCATAGTCAAAAAAAAAAAAAATCATACAGACCTGTGTAACCAATCATTCCTGGTTATATTTTATTATGCAAGAAATAGGGTAAATCTTCAATTTTTTTGTGTGATTGTGAATTAAAGATAAAAGACAGGTGTAATATAGAAGCCTGGAGACATGATTAATGAACAGAGGAAATATTTTGGTGCTTGGAGAGTCTACATTGTTTATTTTGGACCCTATTTTTAATTTAAGTTTTTTGAAAAATTTTCCAAATTACTGGCTTTGCAGTTTTTAGGGTATGTAGTTCTAATAGTTAAATGGGCAGCTTCTTGTGTTCAGTAGAGAGACAAAAGGAATACTAGTGAAATAGCTAAAAATTTGGTTGAATTGAGCAACGGAACTGACTTAAAATAGGACTCTGCGAATTCACTGAAGTGTAAATTTCACCCAGACCACTAACTTTGCACTCTCACCGTTCTATAAGTTTTCCATTAAATTTCGTTGTTTTGGTGTCATTACCTTTAGAAAAAGATACTCGCCCATTTTAGAAGGGAGCGAGTGTGTGTGTTTTTATGTGGACATAGCCATACAAAGGTCTGGGCAGTGAAAGAAGGGGTGGTTCCACTCTGCCTTTGACTTGTTACTTCAGTAACACTTTCACTGCAGTGCCACTTGTAGACTACCCCATTTTCTTGACCATTTACATTATTTCTTAATAGGGCTATCCATTGACTTCATTATTTGTTAGTGTGTGTGCTTTTTCAATATAATCCCTTTGTTCCTGTATTGTCATCTCATTGTGATAGGTAACCCTTCCTAATAGTGTAACTGTAATGTACCTGAAAATCTTCTGTAGTTAATGCTCCTTGAGTATTTTAAGTTTTGAGAAAGTATATTTAAAAAATCGATATGTAATCATTTCAGCAAAGATGGTTGCTTACAGAGAAAACACTACATCAGATATTTAAATAGGTTTCTAATACTATGTTTATCACACTTACAGCCATCTGAAGAATCCTGATATTGCTTCGAAAATCCAAAAGCTCTTGCAATCTGGCCTCATTTCCATCAGGTAGAGATGTTACTTACAAACAATGGTAGAAGTGTTACATGGAAGCAGCACCACTGGCAACCAACTACTTGCTCCAGCTAGAACATTGCGAGCTTGTTGTACTATACCTCAGTGATTTGTGTTACCTTGTTACTGTTATTACAATAAGTCATTTTCCTGACTGCTGTGTATCTTAATTTCATGCTTCTAATATTTTCATGATCAGAAATGTTCAGTGGCAGTGTAAGCTACTTTTATTTTCTTTTCAATATGAAAATGTTAATTGAAATGCTGAATATTGAGACATTCAGACATGTAATATGTTTGTATAGTAAAAATATTTACATGCCCTTGAGATGCATTTAAAGTACTTGTAAAATTCTGTTTAACAAGGGACAACTTACATATTTTTTTAGTTAAGGATTGCTATTTTACCAAATTTGAATTTGAAATTTATGCTCATCAATATAGATCTCATCTTGTACAGGGACCATTTCTTTGTTTGGTACTTAGAATGTCCTTTAGACCCTCCCAATTACTTTGTAAATATTTTAACTTCTGATGTCTTTCTGGATCAGAAGCATGTGTTGGAAATCTGTATGTGCATTTTTAGTAATTTGAAAGCATTGAACTAATTTAATGAATGACTAAAACCTGCAGTGAAATCATTTAAGTGGTATATTGATGGTTCCTGTGCTGTCCCATTTACTTGCCACATTTCATTAATAACTAGTAAGTGGCATACAAAGAACAGTATCTTGATTTTTCTAATTCATTTACTGGAAGAAACTAAAAAAGTTTTCTTGGTTTTCTTTTCCACCCTATTTTGTTTAAAATAAGGCATGAAAATCTAATTTCACATGTGTTATGGGTCAGTCTCATTGTAACATGCAGTAAACAGATGCTTAGTGCCGTCAGCCGTCTCCCACCAAGGCAGGGTGACCCAAAAAAAGAAAGAAAGAAAATCCCCAAAAAAGAAAATACTTTCATCATCATCATTCAACACTTTCACCACACTCACACATTATCACTGTTTTTGCAGAGGTGCTCAGAATACAACAGTTTAGAAGCATACACCTCTTCAAGGGGGGCTCCTTGGCGTGGTGAAGAGGCTCTTGGTCTGAGGAATTAGACCTGTTGGTCTACTTCCTCAGACCGAACCTAATTACCCCCCAATCCCCCATTCCCTATCCCATCCTCCCTTTTTTCCTTTCCTCCTCCTCCTCCCCACCCCTCCCTTTTGCCCTTTTTTTTTTTTTCCCCACAGGCACGCTAATTCCTAGGTAGGGGAAAGGGTACCGGGGTCCATCCCATTCCGTTGAGGTTCTTGGCGGTGGCGTAGTTTGCCGTGGAATCTGGATTGCCTGGGGATGTCCTGATCCCTCTCCGGTATCCCGGAGGGTGGCTTTGGGTGTCTCTCGGGCGACGGGTGTATCTCTGGAAGCCACCTTTCGGATTCCGGGGGTGGTGGCTGAAGGAGGTGTGCTTTGTGGCGGATTTCCGGCCGCCCTCTCTTTTGTCCACCGAGGTAGCTCAGCAGATGTGAGGTTGCTATCCCGGTTTACTGGCATGATGGGTAGGGTATGGCACGGGTTCCATGCTGCATCTGCGCTACTTGCGGTGCTGAGGTCCTCTTGGGCGCGGAGGGAGATTTCTGGCCCTTTCATTCCTCCTAGGAACTATCCCTCCCCGGTCCCCCCTTTTTTTATTTTTTTTTTTATTTTTCTTTTCTTTTCTTTTCTTTTTTTTTTCTTAAAAACAAAAAGAAAGAAGTAACCTAACCATGGCAGCCCTAGTCCATGAACCTGCTACCCCGGGCCCCTTCTTGATACCGCACCCCGTTCTGACCCCGCCTCGTCTTTGGACCACTCTTTGGACACTCCTCATGCCTCTGTACCTCTTGCCGGTGCTGTTTCCTCACCCGCTTCAGGTACTGAGGCCTCGACTGACTCCTTCGATTTATCTGACCTTCGCTCTCCTCTGACTATGCTTCCGGCCTCTCCCTCTATGGTGCGGCAATTTTCGAATCGCCGGCCCGTTCCACGTCGGACCAACTTTGGTCCCACGCCTAAACGACAACGACAATTACCTGCTGATGATACTTCTCCACCTTCTCGTTCTTCTCAGAAAAGATCGACACGTCCTTCACTACCTTTCCACGCTCTGTTTCAGACTGCACAATGGACTAAATTCTTCACTTTACGACTGACTTCCTCTTCTGCCTATCTTTCTGACCACAGTATTGGCAAGGCACTCCTACGCCATGTTGGTAAAGATATTTCTTTTCATGCTTGTAAGAGCGGTACGCGCATCGTCACCGTACAGAATACTACCCAGGCTCATGAGCTTTATCATCTTTCCCATATCGATACTGTTCCTGTAACTATTGAAAAGCATCATTCCCTCAATTCTTGTAGTGGTACCATCATTCTGCCCCATACCATAGTTCAACAAAATTTCCAGACATGTGGCACTGACATTCTTGAACAGCTGGAACTCCAAGATCTCCCAATCCTCAAGGTAGACACTTACGTTCTTCCTGCCCGCGGGCGGAGACGATACCCTAGCAATGTGGCTCGTTTAACTTTTGACAGCCATGAACTCCCATCCTCAGTTTATGTAGCAGGACATCGGTTACAAGTTCGAAAGGTGATCCCTACACCGCAACAGTGTAGAAATTGCTGGCGATTTGGCCATCCAGCGAAATATTGCAGATCTATCGCCGAATGCCCAGTCTGTGGTGCCGATGACCATTCTAATACGTCTTGCAATCGACCTCCCTCTTGCCTTAATTGTCATGAGGCTCACCCTTCGTATTCTCGCCGTTGTCAAGTTTACTTAAACGAGCGGGAAATCCGTTACCTCAAAGAGGCAGAAGGTCTCCCTTATGCCATGGCAGTTTCTCATCTCCGCCTCCAAGGGAGACTACCTCATGTTTCTTATTCCCGTGTTTCAAAACGTCCCCCCACTTCTGGTATCCCATCTTCTGCACCCACCTCTGTGGTTACCTCTCCCATAGTCACTCCTGTAGCTAATTCTTTTGCTGTCCTCGGCTCAGACGTCCCTACTTCAACGTCTCAGTCTGATCTTGCTTCTTAGTGTTCTCTCTCACAAGCCTCAGTAGCAACGAGATCTCGTATGACACCTCCTCCCAATCGTCCCTCTACTTCTCAAAAGTCAAAAAAAGGTCCGTTAACACCTCCTACCCATCTTCCACCTCCTCATTTACCCTTCCCTGTCTCTGTACCTGGTTCTCCCCCTCTCACTGGCTCTGTTACAAGTGTAGAGGTTCACCCTCCTCCTCGTACTGTACCTTCCTCCCCTGTTCCCTCCCAAGTTTCTTCCTCTTCTGCCACCTCCCAGGTTTCTGCCTCTTCTGTCCCCTTCCACGCTTCTCCAGTTCCCTCCACCCTTTCACTCCCCCACTATCTTGGTACAGTCCATTACAGTTCCAATCTTTACTCATCCTCCCCCTACCATTTCCAATATTGTCTCCTATACGACGTCTCTGAATTCTGAAACGCTTGAAGCAATCTCTGAATATATTGCAGAGACCAAACCATCAATGGACACTGATCCACCCTCCGCTCCTTCTCTCTCCTCTACTCCATCTGCGCAACTCCTTTCTTCACAGCGCACCGTTCCTTCGCTGCTTGAACGTTTTCCACTGCCTCCACATGTGGACTTTTCTAACCCCTCTAGTCCGTAGGAACCCTTACCTGCGGATTTCAGGTATCTTTATCATTGCCAATCATGGCCTATTTACAGTGGAATATACGCGGCCTCGGGTAATCGGGGTGAGCTTCAGATGTTACTCCCAGTTTTCCCCTGTTGGTGTTTGCTTACAGGAACCAAAATTACACTCTGCTGTTATCTCTCCCATCTCAGGCTATAATTTATTGTATTCTTCAGATCCTTTTCTGATGGGACCTTTAATGAAAGTGCCCTTCTTCTACGCACTGATATTCCGTACCATCAGCTATTTGTTCGTACTTCGCTGCATTACACAGCAGCCCGTATCCACTTGCATAGGTGGTATACGCTCTGTTCTTTATATCTCTCTCCTTCTCGGGCATTATCTATTCCGGATATTGCCTTTCTTGTTTCGTCATTACCACCACCGATTCTGTTACTTGGTGATTTTAATGCCCACCATTTCCTCTGGGGGGGGTCTCACTGTGATTCCCGTGGCATTCAGTTAGAGGCTTTTCTTGCCACCCACCCCCTCCATGTTTTAAATACAGGTACTCGCACCCATTTTGATCCTCGGACTCACACTCTCTCTTGCATCGATCTCTCAGTCTGCTCTTCCTTCGCCGCATTAGACTTCACTTGGTCTGTTCTTCCGGACTTACATGACAGCGATCATTTCCCAATCATTCTTACTTCCCCTTCATATTCACCACCTCTTCGCATCCCACGCTGGCAATTTGATCAGGCAAATTGGAACCTTTACTCACACCTAACTGTTTTTAGAGAGGTTCCTTCTTCGTCCTCCATCGATGAGCTTTTACACCTCTTCTCGTCCTCCGTTTTAACCGCAGCTTCTCATTCTATACCCCAAACGTCGGGCAGGCATTCTCAGAAATGCGTGCCTTGGTGGTCTCCTGCTTGTGCTCGTGCAGTACGTTTGAAATGCGCTGCATGGGGCAGGTACCGGTACAATAGAACCACAGAGAGACTTCTTGAATTTAAGCAGAAGCGTGCGATCGCTCGCCGTGTCATCCGTGACGCTAAATGCACTTGCTGGCGAGATTGTCTCCACCATCACCTCTGCTTCCTCTACAAGTGCAGTCTGGAAAAAAGTACGAAAGCTGAGTGGTAAATATTCTCCTGACCCAGCTCCTGTTCTGCGGGTTGCCGGTGTTGCTATAGCAAACCCACTAGATGTTGCCAATGAAATTGGCAATCATCTGGTCCGTATTTCTCAGGGACTCCATCTATGCCCCTCATTTCTTTCCTCAAAGTCTGCCAGAGAGTTAGCACCCTTGGACTTTTCTTCTCTCAGAGAAGAACAGTATAATGTGCCTTTTACACTTCAAGAACTGGAGGCAACACACTCAGCTTGCCGATCATTGGCAGCTGGGCCCGACGACATTCATATTCGTATGCTACAACATTTACATCAGTCAGCCCTTGCAGTCCTATTACGCCTTTACAATCTTATTTGGTCACAAGGAGTTCTTCCACAGCTGTGGAAATCCGCCATTGTTCTCCCTTTTCGCAAACCAGGCACTACGGGACATGAAACCTCCCACTATCGTCCCATTGCTCTTACCAGTGCAGTTTGCAAAGTGATGGAACGCCTAGTAAATAGACGTTTAGTGTGGTATTTAGAGAGAGACAACAGTCTCTCCACTCGTCAATATGGCTTTCGTAAGGGACGTTCTACCATAGACCCCTTACTACGCTTGGATACGTATGTTCGTAATGCCTTTGCGAATAACCAGTCGGTTATTGCCATATTTTTTGACTTTGAGAAGGCATATGACACAACTTGGAGGTATAATATTTTAGCCCAAGCCCACTCCTTAGGCCTTCGAGGCAATCTACCATCCTTCCTTAAGAACTTTTTAACTGACAGCTTTTCCGTGTTGGGGTTTTTTAATGTGCTCTCCCCGGGGGCCCTTTTCCAATGAAGGTGTCCCCCAGGGATTTTTTCTGAGCAAAACACTTTTTCCCCTTGCTATTTTGTTTTGGGGCCTCGGTTTTCCCAAATAAAGTTTTTTTTGGGGCCCTCACTCTATGTTGTTTTGACTTCGCTTTTCCCCTGTGCAGGCGCTGACTGTCCCCTTTTTAC